GAATGGCTGTGGATAACCAGGAATTCCTGGCAGGAATGGCTGTGGATATCCAGGAATTCCTGGTGAGAATTCCTGTGGATAACCGGGAATTTCTCCCTCAGGAGACGTGAGGGGAAGCTGGGCCGGGTCGGTGGCGCTGCTGTCCCGGAGCAACTGGAACGTGTTTGAGGACGCCGTAGAATTCTCTGGGAGAGACCCCCCGGCCAAAATCCACATTATTGGGGTGAGGGGCAGCGCCCAGCGGGGCTTCCCAGTCAAATTCCATGGATTTCAATGAATATTCCAGGAAAAAACAGGAATTTTTTGCTCTCAGGGATGCCTTTCTTCTCTTTCTGTGCAGGCCTCGATCCATTTTTAGAACAATTTCTCACATTTTAAGGATAATTTGTCCCATTTTTCTGAGGGATAAGGCAGGGACAGATGGATGGAACAAGTTTTTCTGAGGATTGAAATGAATATTCCAGAAAAAAGTAGGAATTTTGAGGAAAAAACTGGAATTTTTTGCTCTCAGGGATGCCGTTCTTCCTCAGCCCATGCAGGCCTCATCTCATTTTTGGGATAATTTCTCCCATTTTTCTGAGGGATGAGGCAGGAAAAGAAGGTTGGAAAAAATGTCTACAATTATTTAAATGAATATTCCAGGAAAAAGCAGGAATTTTGAGGAAAAAAATAGGAATTTTTTTGCTCTCAGGGCTGTTATTTGGACCTGTTACTCTCCAACCTGAGTAGGCCTCATCCCATTTTTAGGATAATTTCTCCCATTTTTCTGAGGGATAATTTATCCCATTTTTCTGAGAGATGAGGCAGGAAAAGAGGGATAGACCAAGTGTCTCCAAGGATTGAAATGAATATTCCAGGAAAAAGCAGGAATTTTCAGGAAAAAGCAGGAATATTTTGTGGGTGGGAATGATATTCAGAGCTGTTACTCTCCAAGCCTTGCAGGTCTCATCCCATTTTTAGGATAATTTATCCAATTTTTCTGAGGGATGAGGCAGGGAAACAGGAATGGAAAAAGTGTCTACAATGATTGAAATGAATATTCCAGGAAAAAGTGGGAATTTTGAGGAAAAAAATAGGAATTTTTTGCTCTCAGGGCTGTTATTTGGAGCTGTTACTCTCCAATCTGAGTAGGCCTCATCCCATTTTTGGGATAATTTCTCCCATTTTTAGGACAATTTATCCCATTTTTCTGAGAGATGAGGCAGGGAAAGATGGATGGAACAAATCTCTCCAAGGATTGAAATTAATATTCCAGGAAAAAGGGGGAATTTTGAGGAAAAAACAGGAATTTTTTGCTCTCAGGGATGCCGTTCTTCCCCAGCCTGTGCAGGCCTCATCCCATTTTGAGGATAATTTCTCACATTTTTAGGATAATTTATCCCATTTTTCTGAGGGATGAGGCAGGAAAAGAGGGATGGAAAAAGTCTCTCCAAGGATTTAAATGAATATTCCAGGATAAAGCGGGAATTTTGAGGAAAAAAATAGGAATTTTTTGCTCTCAGGGCTGTTATTTGGAGCTGTTACTCTCCAATCTGAGTAGGCCTCATCCCATTTTTGGGATAATTTCTCACATTTTTAGGACAATTTATCCCGTTTTTCTGAGGGATGAGGCAGGAAAAGAGGGATGGAAAAGGTCTCTCCAAGGATTTAAATGAATATTCCAGGATAAAGCGGGAATTTTGAGGAAAAAACGGGAATTTTTTGCTCTCAGGGATGTTATTTGGAGCTGTTACTCTCCAAGCCTTGCAGGCCTCATCCCATTTTTGGGATAATTTCTCCCATTTTTAGGATAATTTCTCCAATTTTTGCAATTTTTTTTCTCCCATGCTGGAATTTTAACAGCTTTGTAGCCTGATTTGGGAATTTTAAGAGGTTTGGAGCCTGATTTTGGGAATTTTAGGCTGATATTTCAAGTTTTCCATCCTTTTTCCACCCAAATTCCAGTTCAAGGAGGGGTTGAAGTGCTCAGGACTGAAAATCTTCTGCAGTTTGGAAGAAATTGAATTTATAAATAGAATAAATCTGTTACTAATATTATTATTATTGTTTTGTTGTTGTTTTGTTATTCTTATTGTTTTTATTTTATTTAAATTTTATTTATACTTATTTATTTCTATTTTATTTCATTAATTTCAGTTTATTTCATTTATTTTATTTCATTTCATTTCATTCTATTTTATTTTATTTCATTAATTTCAGATTAATTTATTTAATTTCATTTGATTTAATTTTATCCAATTTTATTTCATTTAATTCTATTTCATTTCACTTCATTCTATTTTATTTCATTTTATTTTATTTCATTTCCTTTCATTTAATTTTCAATTTATTAAATTTATTTACTTTCATTTTATTCTATTTTATTTCATTTTATTTCATTAATTTCAGTTTATTTAACTTGTTTAATTTAATTTTATTTAATTTTATTCTATTTTATTTAATATTATATAATTTAATTTAATTTCATTTAATTTCATCAATTTCAATTAATTTAATTTAATTTAATTTCATTTCATTAATTTCAGTTTAATTCATTTATTTAATTCTATTTTATTCCATTTTATTCAATTTTCTTCCATCTTATTTTATTATTTTTTATTTCATTTTATTCTATTTCATTTTATTTCATTAATTTCAGTTTAATTCATTTATTTAATTCTATTTTATTCCATATTATTCCATTTTATTCTATTTTATTTAATTTTATTCTATTTCATTCTATTTAATTTCATTTTATTTCATTAATTTCAGTTTAATTCATTTATTTAATTCTATTTTATTCAGTTTTATTCTGTTTTATTCCATTTTATTCTATTTAATTTCATTTTATTCTATTTAATTTCATTTATTTAATTACACTTTATTCCATTCCATTTAATTTTATTTCATTTTATTTCATTCCATTCTATTTTATTCCATTTTATCCTACTTAATTTCATTTATTTAATTACACTTTATTCCATTCCATTTAATTTTATTTCATTTTATTTCATTCTATTCCATTTTATTCCATTTTATTTCACTTTATTCTATTTAATTTCATTTTATTTCATTCCATTCTATTTTATTCCATTTTATCCTACTTAATTTCATTTATTTAATTACACTTTATTCCATTTCATTTTATTCAATTTCAATTAATTTTATTCTATTTTATTCCAGTTAATTTCATTTTTAATCCCATTTTTCTGTTTCAGGGTTTGCAGCGTTTCGGGCTGGGCAGAATTTTGGACATTTGGAAGCTGAGCCAACCCCCAGAGCTCAGGAAAAACGGTGAGGGAAGAGAATTAATCTCAATTAATTAAAATCTAACTAATGGCAATGAAGTAAAATTTAATTGATTTTAATGATTTTAAATTTAATTGATTTTCATGAATTTAAATCTAATTCATTTCAATGGATTTATTTAATTTTCATTTCATTCATAAAATTTATTTCATTTCCATTAATTTAAATTTAACTAATTTCACTGAATTAAAGTGCAATTAATTTCAATGAAGTAAAATCTAATTGATTTTAATTAAAACATAAATAATTTTAATGGTTTAAAATGTAAATAATTTCAGTGACTTAAAATCTGATTGATTTCAATGAAGTAAAATTTAATTAATTTAAATGATTAAATTATTTTAAATTAAATTAATTTTAATTTAATTAATTAAATTAAAATACAATTTAAATTAAAATACAATAATTAAATTTAATTAAATTAATTTTAATTAAATTATTTTTTTAAAATAAATTAATTTTAATTAATTAAAATCCAGCTGTTTTCAATGACTTTCAATTTGATTAATTTCACTGAATTAAAATCTAGTTAATTTCAATGTACTAAAATCTAATTAATTTCAATGAATTAAAATCTAATTGATTTTAATGAAGTAAAATTTAATTCATATCAAAGACTTAAATTAATTTCAATGACTTAAAATTTATTTATTTTCAATAAATTAAACTCTAATTAATTGCAATGACTTTAATTTCAATTAATAAAAATCTAATTAATGAAAATCAAATTCATTTCAATCTAATGAAGTAAAATGTAATACATTTCAACTAATTAAAAAAAATCTAAATTATTTTATTTAAATTAATTTAAATTTAATTAATTTCACTGAATTAAAATCTAATTAATTGCAATGACTTAAACTTTAATTAATTTCATTGAATAAAATGTAATTAATTCCACTGAATTAAAATTTAATTTCAGTGAAGTAAAATCTAATTAATTTTAACGAATTCAATGAATTTCAATGCGTTAAAATCGAATCAATTTCAACAATTAAAATCTACTTCATTCCAATAAATTGTAATTAATTAATTCCAGTTAATTAAAATTTAATTAATGAAAATCAAATTAATTTCAATCTAATGAAGTAAAACGTAATTAATTTTAACAATTTAAATGAATTTCAATGCATTAAAATCGAATTAATACCAATAAATTTAAAATCTAATTAATAACAATAAGTTGAAATTAATTCATTGCAATTCATTAAAATCTAATTAATTAAAATCAAATTCATTTCAGTCTAATGAAGTAAAATGTAATGCATTTCAATTAATTAAAAAAATCTAAATTATTTTATTTAAATTAATTTAAATTTAATCAATTTCACTGAATTAAAATGTAATTAATTGCAACAACTTAAAACTTAATTAATTTCATTGAAGCAAAATGCAATCAATTCCACTGAATTAAAATTCAATTTCAATGAAGTAAAATCCAATTAATTTTAACGAATTCGATGAATTTCAACGCTTTAAAATCGAATTAATTCCAATCAATTAAAATCTACTTAATTCTGAGAAATTAAAACTAATTAATTCCAATTAATTACCATGGAATTAATTAATTAAAGCACTAATTACCCCTGGTCCCTGCAGCCAACCTGGAGATAGAGGATCCGTTCATCCGGCGCTGGGAAGCGTCGGGCGGGTTCCCGGCACTGCGGGAATTCGCCGCCTGCGTTCAGGACCGCGACCTGGAAGGGAAAATTTCCATCGTGGAAAAATACCGGGAACGGATCCCGGAGCTGCTGAGGAGGATCAAAGCCAGCCACGTTTCCCAGGAATCCCTGGCAGGTGAATCCGGGGAAAATCCCGGATCGTGTCACGGTCCGGGGTCAAAGGATCCGGGAGGGTGGAGTTGGGTTTATTTGGGGAGAAAGGAGGTGGGATTTGGGATTTGGGATTTGGGATTTGGGATTTGGGATTTGGGATTGGGAATTGTCTGCTGTGGAGAGCTGGGAATGTTCTGGAATGCAGGGAGAGCTTCCAGCACATTCCAGGAGATAAAGGGGAGCCAGGAGAGCTGGAATTTGGGAAAGGCCTGGAGGGGCAGGAGCCAGGGAATGGCTCCAGATTGGAAAAGGGGAGATTGGGGTGGGATTTAGGAAGGAATTCTCAGAGCAGCTTTGGCTGCCCCTGGACCCCGGGAATGGCCAAGGAAGGGTTGGAGCAGCCTGGAATGGTGGGATTGGAATGGGATGGGATTGAAGGTCCCTGGATCCCATCCCAAAGCATTCCGGGATTCTGGGATTTGGGAGGCTCCGAATCCATCCCGAGGGATTTTTCTGGGAAATGGGGATGGGAAAGAGAGGGAAAGGGAAGGGAGAGCCTTGGTGGCTTCCTGAGATTGCAAGGGAAGGCCCTGGGTCCATCAATTCCTTGGAGAGGAGATGGATCCAATGTCAGGCTCTGGAGCCAGGCTGGGAGAGCTGGGAATGTTCTCCTGGAGAAGGGAAGGATCCAGGGAGAGCTTCCAGCACATTCCAGGGCCTGGAGGGGCTCCGGGAGAGCTGGAATTTGGGAAAGGCCTGGAGGGGCAGGAGCCAGGGAATGGCTCCAGATTGGAAAAGGGGAGATTGGGATGGGATTCTGGGAATTCCCAGAGAAGTTGTGGCTGTCCCAAATCCCAGGAATGTCCAAGTCCAGGCTGGACAGGGCTTGGAGCAGCCTGGGATGTGGAATCCCTGCCCATTTGGGATTCCTGTTGGAATTTGAGGAGACAAAATTCCTCAAACCGTGAGCATTCCCATTTGGGAATGTGGCTGGAATCTCCCTCAGTACAAAATTCCCTTCATCCACCCGGATTCCCCAGAGAGGAGCTTTGCTCCTGATGGGAATTCGGGAGAAGGGGAATGGATCCGGAAACAGAACCACGAAATTCCAGGATTGCTGCCAAGACCAATCCCTTTTTCCTTTGTTTTTCCCAGATTATCTCCTCGGGACCGTGCACCAAGCCAAGGGCCAGGAATTCGACAGCGTTTGGGTCGCGGATGATTTTGTGCAAATCTCGTCCATGGCTTTCCTGAGGAGAGCGAACGACGCTCTGGGTGAGGAAGAGCGGGAAAAGGGAACGTGGGGAGTGGCTGGAGAGTGGGAATGGGGCT